CCCCCAATTAATAAATAAGTACGCAAAGTGTCAATTGCCCCACCTTGAAGCTATGTTAGCAGATCAGCCAGTATTTGGCAGGAAGTTTAATGCTTACTGTATATTTAGGCACTTTATGTTTCAAAGTGAAGATGCTAAACTGTTTGATAGAGAACCCCTATTAGTAAGCCCTTGGCCACAGGGGGGAAGGGAGAACTCACTTTTTTTGAGAAGGGGAGATGGACACAAGCGGGCTTAGGGAGATGCAGCCATTTATTATTATTATTATTATTATTATAGATATATTATTGTGATATTGAATATATTTGCACTTGCAGTGCTTAACAAATTTATTAGCCTGTCACAAAAAGAAGAAAACACAAATATCTGAGAAATCTTTGAAAAGCTTGAACAAAATTCTTATTTTTATACCCAAATTTGAGCCGGCAAACTGGACTTGAAGGAAGTCAGAATTTAAGCATAATGTTCAATCACATAATCTATTTTTTGTGTTCAGTAATGCAAATAAATGGAATTTGGCTTCTTAAATCAATATATATAAATATATACGTATATATTTGCATTTGCAGCATTAAAAACATATTGGTTAAAAGGCATAAAAATGACTAATTACCAATGTGGGTAATTTAGGGAAGCTGTGGAATAAACCTTACACTCAGTGATTGTTTAATAGACTTGTTAAGCACAATATATTCCATAAAGGGAACTTTCTATGGTTGCCATACAGTTTTAAGCTGGTAGTTACTTTAAGTTTAGATGCAAACAAACCTACTAACATTATTCCAGTATCCAGTATTTGGCCCTGATATCATTTTTCTCTGTAAATTAGATTTGGAAACAAGGAGGTCATGTTATATTCAAGGGCTAGAGCACTTGGATTCAATAAAACATCATACTGTTTCTGTATGGAGTACCAGTACAACACATTCTTGTACTGCAGTGTTTTGGCTGGTGAGTTTCTAATGCGACAAATTCATGTTATAAGAGGAAGCAGGTATTCTCTTCATTACAGCGGTGGCGCTCACCTGCAACCTCTGCAAACAGCTCTGTATCAGATGATCAGGAGCTCATTGTTTGGTTGTTTTTATCTAGAAATGTGTTCCTTTTTTAGTTCTGTTCTGTTATCAGCTAAAGTAAAAGCCACTCCATCAGATATGCTTTATTTCCCTTGACTAAACATTTTGTAAATCTGTATTTTTCAGTGCCATTCTGAGCTTCATGTGGGCCAGAAAACAAAGGCATTACTCTACTTGTATTTGGACCGCCTTCCCCTAGTTTAGTACTGTGTAGGCTGAAATTGTGGCTTATGGGTTTGAGAGTTTAATTAACAAATTTGTGCTGGGTTCAATAGGCGACAGCGTATCTCCCTCAACTCTGACTGTGGAGAGGATTCAAAAGTCTTTCATTCAGGATATTTGTTCACAAAGCCAAATGTCACAGCCAGATTTTGCAGACTTCCCTCAGAGGCAAAACTGGCTGAAACTGACTCAAATCAATCTGCTTTCATGGTCACTTTAAATTTGTTCCGTTTTGGTACCACAGCAGTCGTGGAGATTCTTGTAAGACCCATGTAAATTGGCAATGATGTATTTATAGAAAGTCTTTAAGAATTTCTGAAGCCCATGCTGCATTGCCACCGAAATACATTCTTTATGAATGCAAATGACTTCCTACTATCTCCTGACGTCTTCCCTGGGACTCTGTAAAATACTCAAGTTTTATGGTGGAAATAGACGGAGATACTAGTCTGACAAAAAGCTTGCGGGAAAAATTTTTTTTGTTTAATGCTTGACAGTGAAGAGACTGAAGCTATGAGGGATAGTCCATATACACGTGGGTTTGACATGGCTCAGGGACCCTTTGCCAACAGGAGTGTAAAATGGCCTATTCGTCAAAAACAAATGTTAAAAATATGTGGTAAATGTGATCGGTCATTATGGTTTCCTTTTACTGGGCTAATACAACAAATAGCTGGCCATCCTAATGTTCTAATGACATGTTTAAGATTTGTATTTTTTTAAAACTCGTCTATCCAAGGTACTGATGGTAACGTGTCTTCCGTCCATCTGTCCACAATTCACAAGAATCACTCCTCCAAGAATATTGGTCATATTTTAGTGAAACTTGCACACCATGAAACCAGACTGAGGGCATATTGGTCATTTAATGACCACTTTTAAATTTTTACACGAATCACTACTCCTTCTAGAGTATTGGTCAGATTTTAGTGAAAGTATATTAATTTGTCCTGGGTATGATTGTTTGCCAGTTTCCTTGACCTTTTTAATTTCTCAAAAGTTTGTGCAATGCAGTTTTTATTCTGTACTCTGAACATTAAAATAAATTATGAATTGTGATTTTTTTTTTTTTAGTTTTTTTTAAATATGTGATTTATTCTAATTTATGATGATTGATTCAGTTTTTGTTTATTGATCATGAGATGTCAGATCTATCATATGCCTGTTTTCCTTATGGTAATGATAGGAAAAAATCTGTTTCATAGACTGATCCAGTGCACTGTAAGCACTGCTTTAAAGATAGTTGATCACAGACTGCTTCTGATTTGTATCTGTTTTTGAACTAGATGAAATGTCAAGGCCCACTCGTAAAGTGGTCCTATGTTGCTTTTCTTTATGTTTTGACATATACTGTTACAGTTAGACTTTGATCAATATATATCGGTCCCAACGAAATCATCAGTCTTGACTGATGGTCAATATTAGCCATTTATCGATATGTTGATTTTGACATTTAAAATGGCCACAAATGAAAATTTAAAAGCAGAGTTGGAAGAAACACCCTTCAGCAATGTTATGGGTTTTGCAAAGTTGATCTGGGCAGAGCAGAAATGAGTATTCCACATCTGACGGCAAAACAAAATTATTTTTAAAATCCATCCATTTTTCTGCCTCTTACCCAAATCGGGGTCACCTGGGCAGCAGCCTAAGCAGAAAAGCCTGGACCTCCCTCTCCCTGGGCAACCTTCTTCAGCACATACAGGACTAAATTATCTTAGTAAGGACTTTGGTAAGGATTTAAAAAAAAAAAAAAAACTATGCGCAACAAGTGTTAGGAAAATCAATTTAATGTCTTTAATCGCATATTAAATATGGCCAAATTTTCAAATAATGTGCTTAGGCTGAGGCTAATTATCTCCATCTATCGTTATGACCACAGAAGCCCTGCATACCTGCCTTTCAGACTTTGGTTGTTACATGCAAATAAAACAATCAAGGAAGGTTATTTAAAAGGAGAAGGAAAGGAATCAAAACAAGTTGTTTTAGAGTGCGAAGCAAAAGATAAATGAGCATTATTTTTAACTGTGAACAACAAAGGGACTCCAGTAGAGTCCAAGAATAAAGATATGGAGCTAGAAATTAGCATAATGGGTCCACTCAAACATCATGTTAATAAGCTTCATCCACCAGAGAGCCATACTGACCCACATATTTGAATGTACACTACTGTTGCCACTGTTCTGCTGTGCCTGTTTGGATGTATATTGTGCTTTGGTGGTTTTGTTTCCTCTTTTGTGTTTTACTGCTGCTGGAGTGGAAGTTTGAGCACAGAAAAATTAAAAGTCGGGTTTGTATTTTTAATCAGGGTGGGTGGATGACAAAAAGTGGTGTAAATATTTTTAATGTAAATTGTTTCCTACAGAATTAAACCAGTGTCCTGATTTCTGAGCCTTTTCTCGTCTTAATATTGTGTAACGTCATGTTCAAAAAATGTAATTGAAAGATGCTATTTTTGTTTTGCTATGTTGGCTTTTTTCCCGTTTTTGTTGTTTTTGTTGTTTTTCAAGGCATAACCATTGTCACACCAGCTCGTCAAAGAGTTGAGAGATTCAGTATGAACCAAACTGTTTGACCGACTGGCAGACAAATATTGCCATAGCCTCTCTCTCTTTTGTCTCCTGTATAATCTCTATTTTTCCCACATATAATTTACAAAGAGTTTTGCAGAAGCTGAATCCTGTAAGCAGCTGGCTTTAAGCGAAGTTTAACATTTACTGAGACTGATGTCTGTTGACTGAGTTTTTCTTTCCTCCCTCACTGCACAGTAGCAAGGGGATAATTAAATCTCCTAGCATCTGTTCTACACAGTCTCATTTACAGTTTTCTATGGTTTATAATTCAATTTTTAATTCCTGCTGTATAAGAAATGAAAGATGAGCTGTGTTAACGTGTCTTAAGATATGTATTTAACCTTGCGTGTTAATTATGCCATGCTTCAACTGCACTTTTTACGGTGGCACCATGACAGTGTAAAAGTCAAACACGGCTTGTGTGTCAGAAAGTGAACCCCAAATGGAGTTGGTTTATGCCTCCATTATTTTTAATGGACACTAGAGGGCAAAATGTGTGATTGGATAAAGAGCTCTCTTCCTGTTGAAGTCTATGGTGAAAACGGACACAAACACTTATGAGTTTATTCTCAGCCACTCAATTGGAATGATGCAGAGTTAAACGTTAAGTCTGTTTTGCACGTTTTGGTCATTCTAAAACTCAGAAAAGATGATACTCCATGAAATGCTCAATGGCTAATGACTGGTAATTCATTCATCTTTCATACAGTGTATGGATGGTACATTAAACACAGCTTTATCATATTGTAATTATTTTTTGTCCCTAATTGTACAAAAAGTCTTTTGTAAAGTGTTTTTTTTCTTAAATAAACGTGTACATGAAGTGAAATGGATTCGACAAATGTTATATTTCAAAATCTTGTCTCTTTTTTTCTTCTTTTTGAGAAGCGATTGTACAATTTAATGTACAGTATTTGTAAAAACTATTTTAATTGCT